GTACTACAAAAGCACACATATACACACTCATGTTCACAGACCCGAATGCGTTCACACTCAGATGTATGCACACATGCCCGTCCTCCCATGGGCCCTTCCCAAGCAGAACACAGAGCCTCTCCCCAGGACTTGCTCCTTCAACAGCAGAGACACTGCAAGAAAGTCTTTGGTTCCTGCAATCTGAAAAGGCAAGTGACGGATCGATGGATGGGTGGATGGGTGGAAGAGGATAAAGTGACTATTCCTATCTTGAAGCCCAACAAAAGCCAATTCCTTGGCCCCCTTTGGACACCCTTTCTAATGCTGACCCCTCAATTCCCCAAAACCTAATGACGTCCATCGTGGCAGGCTGCAGCCAGTCCCCACTCACTGAAGTGTCAGGGGAGATGCCAAGTCCCCTGGGCTTCAGACTCCCGTATCCGATTCTCTGCTGACACCTCCACTTGGATGTCAGCCTCCCCAACAAACTCAGAATGTACAAAGCCAAGCTGTTGATCTTCCCCCAGAGCACCCGCTGCTCCGGCTCTGGCTCACTTTCCTCTCTCAGTCCACAGCTGCCTCCTTCCACCTGCTCGGGCCAGTATCCTAGAACTCATCTCTGACTCCTCTTCCTCTCATACTCCGCATCGAACCCATCAGGAAAGTTTGACAGTTCTACCTTCAAAATAGATGTAATGCAACCGCTTACCACCCCCCACTGCTGCCACTCTGGTCCAAGCCCATCCCGTCATCTGTCACCTGCATTCTAGCAACAGCCTCGGCCTCTGCCCTTGCCCCCAAGTCCATTCCCAAGAGAGCAGCCAGAAGGATTCTGTTCAACACAAGCCAATTGTTCTCAAAACAATTGAGAAAAATCAATGAAACCAAAAAAATTTGTTCTTTGAAAAGATCAACGAAATGAACAAACCTTTAGTTAAAATGACCAAGAATAAAAGACTCAGTGAAAAAGGACACATCACTACCAACCTCACAGAAACTAAAAGGATTATAAGAAAATATTATAAACTGTGGGTATCGACAAATTAGATTAACCTAAACATACCGATTCCTAGACAGACAGCAACATCCGAAACTGACTCGAGAAGAAATAGAAAATCTGAATTGACCTATAACAAGTAAATATTGAGTTTAGGAATCAGAAAACTTACCACAAACAAAAGCCCAGAACCAGATGGCTTCACGGGTGAATTCTACCAAACACTGAAAGACGAATTAACAAATTCTTCATAAACTCTTCCCAAAGACAGAGGAGGAAGGAACTCTGGCCAACCCATTCTGAAGCCATTATCCTGATACCAAAACCAGGCAAAGTCACCACAAGGAAACCACAGACCAGTATCCCCTGTGAATATAGATGCAAAAACCCTCAACGGATACCACCAAGTCAAGTCCAGCAAAACCATGGCCAAGGCGAGGTCGGTAAAACATGAAATATCAGTCAATGCAACACATACAGGAATATAATAAAAGGACAATGCCACATGATCATCTCAGTAGACAGAGAAGACAAAAGCCAGATCTCCTGCTTCTTAGAATAAAACCCTGTCCCACTCTCAGTAAAAGCCAGTTCAGCCAGATGCCCCCAAGGCCCTCTGTGATCCAGCCCCCATCATCTCTGTCCTCACCTGCCTCTCCCCCTTCTCTCTCTCTGCACTAAGCGCAGTGGCTTCCTTGCTGTTCTTCAAACCCACCCGGTGCACTCCTGACTCTGGGCTTTTACAGCTGCTGTTCCCTCTCACCGAACCACTGTTCCCCCAAATATCCACAGAATTCACTCCTTTACCTCCTACAGGTCTTCATTCAGCAATGGCCACACTACATAAAATTGCAGCTCTCTCCCTCCAACACTCACACGCTCCCTATTTCCCCTCCCAGCTCTACTTTTCTCCTAAGCATTTATTATTATCTGAAATACTGTGCATTTCACGAATGTATCTTGCTTGTTGCCTGTGTACCCCAACTGGAATGTAAGTTCCCTAAGGACAGAAATATTTTGGTCTTGTTCTATTCACTGCTGTATCTGTAGCATTTCAAATACCTTGCCACTTCCTTGGCACTCAGTAAATACTTGTTGAGGAAACGAATGCAGATAACTTGTCACTCGACACTTCACTCAGCAAACAGTGTGATTCTCCTCACCCCACCCCCCTGAGCCTGACACCGTGCTTCAGGCTGGAGCGCTGAGAAAGATTGGAACCAGAGGGCAGGTCGGGAGGGGCTGTGAATGCAGGAGCAGGAGCTGGCCCTGGCTCCAGAGGCACCAGGGAGAACAGACTGTGGTCTGTGAGCGGGAAGGCAGGGACACCGGGAAGGCAGCTGCAGGAACAGTCCTGGGGAAGACAGCAAGGCGGGGCGGAGGGGCGGGAGGAGAGGGCAGAGGTGGGAGATGTTAAGGGCTTTGTGACCCATGGTTGGTGGGGAGGAGGGGCAGAGCCTAAATCTCAGGTGAGAACATCCAGGTGGATCACAGAGGCACAGACAGAGCTGTGGGGACAGTGGGGGACAGCTGTGAGGGGCTGCTCAGCACTGCTGGGTACCATGCCAGGCCTGGCAGCTTTGCAGCGCTGAAGAATGGACACGTCCTGGCCCTGCCCGCCGTCCTGCCACCGTCCAGCCCCCAACCCTGGGGTGGGCCCAGAAAAGAGTTTCTCCAGCCGGTTTTGTCAGCCAAGACGCAATGTCATTTCTAGATGAGCCATCCAGCCCTGGAGGTGTGCCAGGCTGCAGGGTGGGGGGGCAGCTGTGTCCCCAAAACACAGCCAAGGAGCTGCCACCCAGAGCCAACCAAAGCAGTGGCAGAAGCGGAGCTGGCGGGGGGTCCCCAGCCCCAACCGGCTGGTGCAGGACCTTAGACGGGGCCTCCATCTGCCTGGGCCTCAGCCTCCCTGTGAGGTCAGGCCCCTCGGCCCCCACCAGCCGGAGTGAAAGCCCCGGTCACTTTTCTGCTCCTCCAGCCAATAGGTATTAAGGCATTTATTAGTGCCCAGGGTATGCCAAGCTCTGTTTCTCTCCCACAGGGTGACTAGGGTCACTAACACAAAGGACACAGACTTTGGAGTCTTCAGAGCTGACCTGGAGTTTTGTCTGTCCCACTATTTGTCTGTTGCTGTCTCTGGGCCTCAGTTTTCCAATCTGTCAAGTGGGATGGGAAAAAAAACCTTCTCAAAGTATCGTGAGGAGCATGAGCAGAAGGGAACGATAACAGGACTTCTCTCGTCTCCAGGAATTTCCGCTGAAGCCCAAGGCCAAGGACAGCAGGTGAGCAGCGCCCACACCTTGGGGGAGGTGCCAGACACCTTCAGGACTTGGTGAGAGAGAGGGAACTGTCCCGTGTGGCCCCTGCCAGCCAGCTGAATGCTGACCCTCCTATTCCAGGGCGAACTGAGGGGTGTTCACAGAGGGCGTCCTCAGAGAACCCAAGCATATGTCATCTGGCATTCGGGGGGTGTGGACCCTGGGGCCTGACCCCCCTGGGGACGTCTGAGGGCAGGAGTGGCAGATGGAGCAGGCTGCAGTGCCGGGGTGCAGGGAGAGGGCAGCTGTGGGAGCCCAGGGGGTCACATGGCCACTGTGGAGGGGAACAGAACAGTCAAGAGAGGGGACCCCACAGCACCGCCTGCCCGGGCAGGAGGGCCCAGCCGGAAAGGCAACCCCTGCATCAAGGAATTGGACAACACAAAAGCCAGGGCCAGAGGCCCCAAAACACCCTCACAAGTGTCCCCATGCTCCGCATCAGGGCACCTGCCACACAGAGAGCACCGACATCAAGAACAACTCCAGACACAGGTAACACTTGGCCCATTTCCATCCTTCCTCACCTGCTCAGCCCCAAGGGGGTCAGAATCTCGGGGGAGGAGCAACATCAAGGATGAGGGACAGACATAGGGGACAAGGAGAACGGGACAGCCTATAGCTCCCCCTCTGCCCTGTGCAATTTTCTGGACCCGGATAGAAGGTTTATTCGGAAGCAGAGCCAGAGGTCTGATTTCAACGGGACCAGCCTTTTAAGCTCAGAGTGTGGCTGGAAAAGCCGTGGGATCTGGTCGCAGCTGGGAAACCCACCCAAGCCGGCGGGAGGACGGCCAAGCCGCTGTGAATTCGCTTTCCGACTCCAGCCTGCACAGGGAGCCCGGCACACGGGTGTGAGGCAGCGGTGTCTACAGCGACAGGGCCAGGCTCTCGGAACCGGGGCAGGGAGGGGAGCTCCAGCCCATCTGGTCGCGGCTGGACTGGAGCTGTCGTCCCAGACGCAGTGGCCCCTTCCCTTCTGGGGGGACAGGCGGGGCTGGGGCTGCGCACACAGGGCTTCCCGGGGCCCGGTCCTGCCCCTGGGCCCCCGTCTGTGGATACAGCCCAGGAACCTCAGTGCTTGATGGGACCCGAACGTGGCTGAGCCCAGGCCGGAACGAGAATTCCGATGTGGGGATAAGAGGGGTCTGGGAAGGCTTTTGGAGGGGGATTCCGGGACACCCGGAAGAGGAAACGGTGCTTTAGTGCAGGGAAGGGACCCGAGCAAAGGCTGGGATGTGTGAGCGCCCATGTCGCTGGTGTGGCCAGAGCCTGGCGCACATGAAGGATGTGGATTTGGAAATTTTGATATTATCACGACTGTCACCCTTAAAGCAGTGTCTGAATTGGCTATGACCACTCGGGGCCTCACTTTCCTCGTCTGTGAGCTGGGGAGAACGACCCTTTTTCTTCCTGGGCTCACAACATGCCTTGGGAATAAACGAGGCCCGTTGTCTCAAATCAACACCTTAGCCAGGGGGGCTCAGAAGACACTTCTCCGAGTCAGAAAGACTTAGGTTCATATTTCAGTTCTGCCCCTTCCTCGCTGGGTAACTCCTGGCAAGCCTCTGTTTACTCATCTGTAAAATGGGGCTAACAAGTTGTACCCGGAAGGAGGGATCAACATGATGTGCATAAAGACCTGGCATGGTGTGAGCCTGTGTGAACAGGAGTCCCCCGCCCACCCCGCCTCCCCGGGGGCCCTCACTCACATAGGAGGCCGGGAGGGTGGTCGGGGCCAGGACGAGAGCCAGGTAGAGGCAGGGGGCTGTGGCAAGCAGGCTGGACGCACAGATGAGGGGCTCAGCCCTTGGGTTGACTTTCTTGTACCTCCTTGCAGCCTCTGCCCCCACGATGACCCCGATGATGCCGGTCACGATGGTCATTGCCCCAAAAATCAGGCTGACGGGGAAGAGAAGAGAGGGGTTGGTCAGCTGGGTGGGGTCAGGATAGGGCCCTTCGTCCCTCCCCCAGCCCCTGGTCTAGCCATCTGGCCCTGGGGCATGATCTGGTACCCGCAGAGAATGTGGCTGTGGGCCTGTGGCCTGACCTACCCCTTCCCGCCCTCCTGACCAATGCTCCTGGGGCCTGGGGACCCAGATCAGGGACCCCTGTCCTCCCCTGCCCTACCCTACCCCCTTCGCTGCCTCGTCCTGGGGGAGCCACAGGTCCTGTGGGTGACCACCCAGCACCCCAGCACCGCAGGCCCCAGCCTGCCTCATCCCGAGTGACCTCTACCTCTCGCCACCCAAGCCAAGCACCCCTCGGGAACCCTAATTCTAGAGTCCCACTCGGACCCCTCGCTCCTCTCCTTCCAGCCCCAACGCTGAGAGGAACGGGGACATGTGTATTTAGTGAGCTCCTAGGACACACCGGCCCCCACCTGAGCCTCCTTGAGCCCCAGCCCTCTGCTCCCTGCCTGTGACACCTCCCAAGCGCCGCCTCCTGCCTGGCTTCTCTCTCCCAGCCACTCCCAGACCTGCTTCCGCTCCATGTGGCTCTCCCTGCACATCCCTCCTCGGAGACCGGCCCCTCCGGAGTAGCCTCCACGCGGGGCCCGCAGAGAGTGCTTCCTAGAACACAGACCTGACCACGTCCCTTCCCAGCCCCTGCCTAAAATTCTCCACCAGCTCTCAGACACCGCCAGGTCTGGTCCCAACTCCACCCAGGGTACGTGGCTCCTCGTGATCGGCTCACCCTGGCTCACCCCGGCTCACCCCAACCCCAGGCCCCAGCTCCATTCTCTTCCCCCTAACCCCCGACTAGTTGCTCCCCACCCCTACTTCCACCTCATACTTTCACTCCTCCATCTGGGACACCTTGCACCAGTTTTCCCACCGGCCAAACTCCTACTCATCCTTCAAGACCCATCCCAAATGTCCCTTCTTTCCAGGAAGTCTTCCTCTGCACCCTGGCTGATCCCTTCACTCCCATCAGTCCAGGTGGCACCCTCCATGTCTCTACTATCAGGGTCAGTCTCCAGCCTGTGAATTCCTGGACAACAGGGACAGGCGACAGGCGCGGCTCACTGTGCTGACTCCAGGCTGGGAGCATGGAGCCGGCCACACGAGAGAAGTGTGTTGAGCCGATGGACTCATCGATCCCTCCCAGGATTCCCAGATGGACACATGAGGAAGGTGAAGCTGAGGAAGGTTAAGGCCAAGAATATCCAGCTAGTAAAGTCAGGATTTGAATCTCCATCTTCACCCTCTTGCTCCATTCTGCAGCCTAAGCCTCCTTTGAAAGGAGCTCGAAGGGATGGCTGAGCCTGCGACCGGTGTGAACTCTTGAAAACACAAACTTCGCTGCCCGTGCAACCGGAAGGAAGAAGGAAGGAAGGAAGGAAGGAAGGAAGGAAGGAAGGAAGGGAGGGAGGGAGGGAGGGAGGGAGGGAGGGAGGAAGACAAATTAACCAGGATTTTTCCAGCCCCCAGTGGCTCCCTGTTGTCTGAGCAAGCTCCCTGCGGGACTGACCCTGCCGGCCCCTATAAGCTGCCCCTCTCCCTGCCTCCCTCCCTCCCTTTGCACAAATGACTGGGAACTCTATAAGTTTGCCCTGAGCTTGCCGGATTCCCAGCGTCGGCCCACACTGTTCCCCACCCACCTTCTCCACGTGGCCAATATCCACTAGAAGTGGTGGCCGGCCAGTCCCCTGCTATTATTTTCACGGTCCCCAGCAAGATGTTAGAATGTGTTAATGTTAATGTTAGGTACAAGACCATGGTTATCAACAAACTGAGTGCCACCAAAAAGACACCTCTCCCCTGAACGACTTCTGTGAAATGTCCATCTCACAGCTGAGGACTAACGGGTTCATTCTCCCACCCCATCCCCCTCAGTGCATAGGAGAGAGTATGGAGCCCAGAGAGGGCAAGAATTTGCCTGAGGTCACACAGCCCTTGAGAGGCACAGCCAGGGCCTCCTGGCCCTCCGCCTACCAGACAGAGCATGTGTGTCCTTAGGCAGCTTAAAGGTGCTCTCTGAACCTTCTCTGCCTTCCAAGCTGGGCAAGGCTCTGGCTCAGCCCAGTCAAGTGACCCTGAATCCCAGATGAACACCCTGGTCTGAGCCGGCCTTGGCAGGTTCTTGAGACATTTGTGAGGCTTAGGACTGACCACTCAGACAGGCTTCCTAGATGGGCGTCCCCACTGGCCCCTGAGCAGGAGGTGTAGCCAGGGGACACACCCAGCCACCAAGCCCTTCATGTCTCCCTCCCCTGCCCAGGATCACAGACCCTCAGAGGCAAGAGAGCCCCTGAAGGCCTAAACGTTCCACACTGATTCCTTGCACAATGGCCCAGACAAGCATTATCCAACTTCTACTTACACACCCCCCAGGGATGGGGAGCTCACCACCTGCCTCCCCATGCAGCTCCTTCTACCTGGGCCACTTCAGCTCTGAGTGTTGGAAGTTCTCCCCCCTTCCTGAGCTGGAATTCTGTGCCCTGCAGCTTCCTGCTCCTGCCTCTGCCCCGTCACCTGGGGGCTTATCTTGACCAAGGAGGGTATAGTAACAGCCAAGATCTGTGCGGAACCCCAACGCCAGGACCTTCCACCCACTCTGTGGTAGGCCGAATGATAACCCTGCCCAAGGTGTCTCCATCCTTCATCTCTGCAGCCCGTGGATGTTGCCTTCTATGGAAAAATACTCTTCGTAGATGGGATTACAAGTGAGCCTTAACTGTAATCGCTAGTGTCCTCATTGCCTGGACGCAGCGAGAGATTTGAGACAGAAAAGAAGGCAGCGTGACCATGAAGGCACAGCTCGGAGTGATGTGGCCGCAAGCCAAGGAATGCTGGCAGCCACCAGGATCGGGGAGAGGCAGGGAAGGACTCTCCCACAGAGCCTCCGGAGGGTAGGTGGCCCTGCTGACACCTTGATTTTGGCCCAGGGAAACCAAGGGACTTCTGGCCCCCCAAAATTTGAGAAGATAGAGTTTTGTTGTTTAAAGCTACCAAGCTGGGGGAGTATTTGTTACATCGACCACAGGAAACTCACACACACTCCCACGCCAGTTTCTCACACCAGCCAGCGAAGGGGCGGAGTCAGAGCCGGGAGGCTGAAGCCGGAGAAAGGGGAAGAGACTTGCCCAGGATTATAGGGCTAGTTGATGCGTGAAGTGACAGTGAGTCCGGTTTCCCACCCCCGACTTGCTCAAGCTGCTGTGAGGATCCAGCATGCCTGGCTTTTAGGATCCAGGCGGTCTTTGCTCCGGGGACAGAACGATCTAGCTGCACAGCCAAGACAAACGTTGCAGTCTCGCTCAATGCACCCATTCACAAGCTTTCCCTGAGCACCTGCTATGTGCCAGAAAGCTGCTCCCAGCTCGGCGGGGGGTGCTCAGGTCAATTAGCAGCGACAGGCCGTCTCCAGAGGCAACAGGACGTGGAGCTTCGGGGCACCAGCTTTGTAGTCAGAAAGGTTTGAATCCTGGCTCGTTCTTGTTACTCGTTCACTGTGTGCCCCTGGACAAGTCACTTAACCTCTCTGATCTTCCATCTCCTCATTTGTAACACAGGAATAACAGGAATATCACCGAGGGCTTTCCACATTTGATACTCGGCATAGGAGCTGAACTACAGTGAAAGCTTAGTAAGTCATGAGACTGCAGGGGAGCCATGGGCAGAGGAGACAGCTGGGGCTAAGGCACACACAAGCGAGACTCCAGGGACACTCTGGAAATCACATGGCGCTCCATCTGGGCATCAGGGAGTCAGGTAGCGGCAAGAGAGGAGGGAGGAGGAGGCGGACAGGGGTGCGGCCAGCAGAGAGCCCTGAGCAACTCCCAGGAGCCCAGCAGGGCAGGGTCAGAGAGGAAGAGGGGACCACAAGGGGACTGGAAAGCATCCGCCAGAGGGGAGGGCGAGGCTAGGACTGAGGGCTCCGAGGAAGAGGAGAAGAAAAGTCAGGGAGGATTGAAAGACGTCCTTGACTCAACACCAGGAGGTCACCGGAGTCCTCAGAGAATGGGGTGGAAGGCGGTAGGGTCAGAAGCCGAGCACAGGAGGCAGGAGGCGGGAGATGACATCCCCTGAGGACAGTGTGCCAGCGCCTCCCACCTCCCGGCAGCTTTGCGGGACTCCGGGTGTCTCAGATGAGCAGAGCACAGATGAATGCACACACAGGAAATGCCTCAGCCAGAGCAGTAAGGAGGCCTCCCAGGGCCTCAATTTGCAACCTGCAAAATGGGATGAACAGGATGACCTCACAGAATACACTATGGGCACCTCCAAAGGACAGTTGCCTAAGGCCCCTCCCTGTCACCCCACGGGCCCCCACAGAAGCCTCACCCCTTCCCCTGCCAGTGCTTTCTACACCCCTAAAACGGCCCGACAGTGGAAAGACAGGGAGCTCCACCCAGAGAGGACAGGGAGCTGCCGGTGACCACCCAGGGCAGCAGGGACGCAGCCAGAGCTAGACCCCGGCCTGCCTGCCAGCTGGCTCCTGCACCCCGCCGTCTTCACACAGCACCGTGCGCCCCAGGACACTGAGCTTTGGAGCTCAGAACCTCAGAACTTCCTCGGCAAGAGCCCCCCAGGCCGGCGCAGATGCCCGGGGCCCCGGAGACCCCTCACCTGTCCCGGCTGCTGCACGGCTCCTGGAAGCAGGGAGGCTGCAGCCCGTGCACCACGCGGGCCTCAAACAGAAACTTGGGGGCCCAGAAGCCCAGGGCTCCGGTAACAAAGGCCATGGCAGTCACGCCGAGGGTCGACCACACAAAGCTCCAGCTGCAAAAGAAGGTGAGGGCGGAAGAAGTCGGGACGGTGCTGGGGCTGAAGGGGCCTGTCCCCAGGGGCACCTCAGGCTGCAGCCTCCCCGACATTTCCGACACGCCCTGCCCAGCCCACCCCACACCTCTCCTCACGCTGTGCCTCCCTCCCTCCTCTCTGCAGGACCCAGTCTCCGCATCCTGAGAGGCCTCAGGAAGCTGTCCCCGCCTGCCTGCCCCATCTTCCTCAGAGCCCTTCAACCGTCTCACGGCTCCACGACAGCCGGGCCCAGCCGCCCCCACGCTGCCGTGAGCCACGAGGCCCCGACTGCAGCTGGCTTGTCTGCCTCCCCCGGCGTGCCTGGGACAGAGGACGGTGCGCTCCCCTGAGGCTTGGAGTGGCGAGTGACCAACTCCCAGTGTCCTCCCAGCAGCTCCCAGCAGGCGCGGCTGGAGAGTTATACCCACTGAGTAAACTAGAAATGCCAGGCTCCGGGTCTCGGGGTCACTTAGGGGCAGGACAGTCATGGAGACAAGGCTGGGGCTCACACCACCCACCTCCCTCCCTGTCCATAGTTCTGTCCCACGGTGAGGTGACGGGGGCTGAGCCCCAAATGATGGAGGGACACCTCAGAGGAAGAACAGGGCTGTGCACATTGGGACAACCAAGGAGAGCTGCCTGGAGGCGGAGAGACGGAGGTCAGTGATGCAGGGGCAGACAGAGGGGTTTTATGTGGCTTGCTGGGGGGAGCAGGGACACTCACTTTCTCCCCAGGTATCTGACGTCCTCACACCAGCCGCTCCTCATGCCCCCCATGGCCACCTCCCCCTGCTTCTCAGAGGCTCCCCGGGGCGGGTCCGGAACCAGCAGGATGAACAGGATCAAGGCCACGGCCTCCAGGCAAGGCATGATCTGGGGACAGGAGCACCCAGGATGCTCAGGGCCACACACTCCCACAGCCCAGGAGACCCTGGGGGTGACCGTGGCCAGCCACCGTGTCTGACTTCGGTGGCCCAGCCCCTGGCAGCGGGGGTGATGCTGTTCCTGGGTGCTGGTTATACACAGAGCTGGGCACACCACTGCTTCCCACCCCTCGCCCTGTGGCCTTTCTGGGGAGTGGAGTCCCTCCAGGACTAGAGTTAGTACCAGTCTGTCCACCACGGACTCTGCGCTGTAGGGACCCGGGCGTTGAGACGGTTGAGAATGGCAGCCCTGACTCCTGAGTGCTTGCTGCACCGAGAACTGGCCCTTGTCCCGGCCCCTGCCCCATGTGCCACACCGGCCTGCCCTGGTGTCCTCTCCCTGCTCAGGCTCCAAGGATGAGGAGCTCACTACCTGCCTTGGGGCAGCCCTCAAACAGCTCCGACTAGGAGCAGGTTCTCATTCAAGCAAAGACAGACCCACCTCCCTGAAGCCCGCCCAGCCCCGAGGCCCCACATGGGGCTTCCGTGGCTTCACCAGCCACTTCCCTGGCCCAGGACTGGGCCCCCAGAGCTCCTTCCTCTTCTCCTCAGTCCATATCCTGCCGAGTCTGAGCCAGTGGTGGCTGCAGCCCCAGCGAGGCCCACCAGGTAATTTCCTAGGTGTCCTGGCTCAACTGCCTGAGTAGCCCCAGCTGCCGGTCCTTAAGGGCCTACTGTGTGCCCTGGCCCTGGACTAGGAACTCTCTGTCCCCTGTCTCATTAATCCCCAAGCTTCCATAGGTAGCGTTTACCACCCCACTTTACAGACAGGCAAACTGAGGCTCCAAAGAGGCAGGTGACTTACTTGAAATCGCACAGCTAGTAAACTGAGGACTTGATCCCAGGGCCATGACTTCCACGGCCCACATTCCATATAAGGTCCCAAATGTCCACGGCTGCCAATGTCTGACCACCCCCCCCCATGGCGCCGGGTACCATGCCAAGTGGCTAAGGCCACCCGAGGCTGGAAAGTCCCTGCCGGCCCGGGGGGAAAGCAGAGGGAAGAGAAGGAAGCTGGACTCACTCGGAGGGCCCAACGCCAGTTTCCAGTCAGCTCTGTCACGGCCGAGCCCAGCACGTAGCCCAGGCCACTGCAGTGGGGGGGTGAGGGGGACAGGCGTGAGGGGCAGGAGGCAGGGAGGCCCCAAGGCCGGCCTGGCCCAGGGAGCCCCCCTCCAGGGAACTGGCTCCCTGTGGGCTCACAGCCCTTTCACTGAGAAAACTAAGCCACGTGAGGCCCAGATGTCCACTGCCCTTGGTCAAGTCCCCAGTGACCTCTGGCTCCCGGCCCACCCCCTGGCGCCACTCTCTCCACATATGAGGATACGTACCCACCCCCTCACCCCCACCAGCCCTCCTGCCCAAGGTGTGGCCCTGCTTGAGTCAGGGGACTTCGGGAAACCTGGGTCAGAGTCCGGGGGCCTGACTGTAAATCCCAGCCTGTCCCACCCTGCCGTGGGTGCAGGACCAGCCTCCCCCCGAGCCGGCCACACTGCCACGCTGCTTTTTCTTACTCCTGCTGCGAGCATCCTCATTTCCTCTACTCACCACAGCCCATCAGTGGGCGTTATTGCACCCATTTACAGATGGGCAAACTGAGGCTAAAAGAGGGGAACTGACATGGTTAGGAAAGGGGCAGTGCTGGGACTCAAACCCCCGCCCTCCTAGGTTGACCCTCTCCTTTCCCCCGCCCAGCCCCTCCTCTGACTCCTCTGGGCCTCAGCTTACCCTCTGGGGAAGTGGGTCCAGGGGTGACACCAACCTTCCAACGGGGATAAAGATGTAGAAGATGGCCAGCACGCGGGTGCGCTGGTCCCGCACGAAGAGGTCGCCCAGGACGGTGGGCGCGATCGTGGAGTAGCTGGCGGTGCCCATGCCCACGACTCCCCGGGCCAGGAAGAAGATCCAGGAATACTGGGCAGGCGGACACAAGACCACGGGGAGTTCCAAAAATCACCCAGGAGGCAAGGGAACAGAGAATTTGTCAGAGGGACCAAGGGGACCCGATGACACAGGCCCACAGAGGAGGGAGATGGGATCAGAGCTACAGACCCCTCACTGCCCTCCCCAACCAGGTTCCCCAATCACACAGATGCCCCCTGCAGCCACCGCCTGCCCCGTGCCCAGGGGAGCCCCTCTCCTGGGTCCTGCCCTCACTGACCGGCCAGCTCCCCAAGACAGCAGCCGTTGCCCCCAGCAGCACCCCCAGCAGAGTGGGCGGAAGTGAAGCTGAGGGCAGCAGCGGGAGGTGCAAGAAGAGGAAGCCTCCTGTTAAGAAAGTCTAACGGGCCAGGCACGGTGGCCCACGCCTGTAATCCTAGCACTCTGGGAGGCTGAGGCGGGAGGATCGCTCAAGGTCAGGAGTTCGAGACCAGCCTGAGCAAGAGCGAGACCCCGTCTCTACTAAAAATACAAAGAAATTAATTGGCCAATTAAAAATATTTAGAAAAAATTAGCCGGGCATGGTGGCGCATGCCTGTAGTCCCAGCTACTCGGGAGGCTGAGGCAGAAGGATCGCTCGAGCCCAGGAGATTGAGGTTGCTGTGAGCTAGGCTGACGCCATGGCACTCACTCTAGCCTGGACAACAAAGCGAGACTCTGTCTCAAAAAAAAGAAAAAGAAAGTCTAACAGGCTCTGCCCAGGCTCAGGCCTGGATTCTGTGCCCTGACCTCTCTCCCAGCCCTGGGAGTGCAACCCCCGAGCAGGCCAGGGCCAGGGATGGAGCAGAACCATCTCTATCCTGCTCTGATGGGGCTGGATCAGGGAGGGCGCAGGTAGGGGAAGGTGCCTAGGGGCCTGGGCAGGGATGTGGGCACCTACCCGGGGGGAGATGAAGGAGCTGGAGAGCCCGGCCCCTGACCAGAGCAGGATCCCAAAGCTCAGTGTGGCCTTGCGGCTGCGTCGGTCGCCCAGGTAGCCAAACACGGGTGCAGACAGCAGCAGGCAGCCGATGAAGACTGGAAGAGACACACAGGGGCAGCCTGGATCCCCCCACGACACGGGTGAGCGGCCAGGCCAGCAGGCCCGGGGAAGGCCCGGGCTTTACTGGCATGCCACAAGCTGGCATCTCGACAGTGGGTCCAGGGCACGAGGAGGAAAAGTAAGGTGGATCTCACAGTCCTGGTCCCACATGCGCCCCAAAGCCCAAAGCGTCGGTGAATGGGCCAGGTCCAAACCCCAGCTCTGCCACTTGCTCACATGCGTCCTCTCTGAACATCTCTCCAATATCAGAGATGACAACACACCCCTCCCAGGCCGGCAAAGGTGAGATGCGAACTGAGCGTGGAGAGCCCGGCAGGGAGTGGATGCCAGTTTCCTATCTTTACAAGAACACATGACCAGCCTGAGCCACACAGCAAGACCCCGTCTCTACAAAAAATTTAAAAATTAGCCAGGCATGGTGTTGTGCATCTGTAGTCCCAGCTACTCGGGAGGCTGAAGCAGGACAGTCGCTTGAGCCCAGGAGTTGGAGGCTGCAGTGAGCTATGATGACACCCCTGCACTCTACCCAGGTGACAGAGCAAGAGCCTGTCTCAAAAAAAAAAAAAAAAAAAGGACATGACCCTTATGAGCCTGGATATCCAGACTGGTCTGATTTTTCACTCATAGCCCTGCTTGGGGGGCAGGGTTGGGGATTCAGGGGGAGAGGGAGGTCAGCCCGGGGCCTGCTGTGGCCAGCAGGTGAGGAAGGTTTAGAGCACACTGACTGTAAAACATTGGCTATAAACCAGGGATGACGCCAGGAGGCGGGGAAAGAGTTGGTTTTCCTAAGTAGGTAAAATATTCCCTGGACATTGTTACGTCTATACCATTTTTAAAGTAAATCCTTATTAATATTGGCAGCAGGATTAATGCACATGTTTGCTATTCTGTGAGGATAAAGAAACGGCCACGTCTTTGCATGGCTACGTAAGGCACACTGCTTCCATTCCTTAAATAAAATCACCTCCGCCCTTGAGGATGGGAGGATGGCAAGTCCCCGCCTCCACGCTGGGAGAGCCGGCAGATGGAGCAGGAAGGCCTGGACCCTCCCCCACCTGGTCCCAGGGCTTTAGGCTTTGCACCTGGGTCTCCAGTCACTGAGCACAGATGATTGGCATTTCCTGAGCCCAATGAATGCTCAGATTCTTCCCATCTCAGGCTCTGGCTCCTCCCATTCCCCCATGACCTGCTCTAGTATTGGGTTGAGCCACGTGCGATTGTGGAAATTAGGCCGGTTTTGACCTACAAAAACGACAATTTAATATGGCTCAACCTAATAGTCCATCGAGAATAATCTTTGGTGTCAATGGCATTTAAAATTTTAATAGCTACTGCCAAAATAGGCCTCCCCAAAGGCTGTATATAACCATCATCTTATTTTTGTTCATCTAATGGTTGAAAACAAATGGCATCTCGCTGATGTTTGCATTTGCACCCTCTCTGTTCCCCGTGAGATTGAGCAACAGTTCCTACGTTTACAGTCTTCACCCGTTTTCCTATTGGGCTATTGTTTGACTTTTAATATATTTTGGAAATAATTTCTCCCAGTTTTTTACATTTAAGAATTAAAAACATGAGTTCTGGAACTAGGTTAGCTGGATTTAAATCCTGACTCGCTACTTTCTACCTATGTGACCTTAGTCAAATTCCTTAACCCTCCACATTTTCCTTTCATCAGCTACAGAATTGTAATGGCATTTCCCTCACATGGTTATTGAGAGGATTAAGCAAAATAAAGCATATGAAAGTTATCTGAATGGCTTTACATCAATGCCCAATAAATGTTGTTTATTATTATTGCTAATTGCATAGTTTCAATCACCATCACACAAAAGTATTTAGCTTTGATGTCATCAAATTTATTAGTCTGGGGGGATTGTTTCATATCTTGTTTGTGCACATCTTCTTTACCCAAAGGTTATAAAATATTTCCCCATATGCAGGGATCATGTGCAGGATATACATGCCTTAAATCCGCAAATACTCTGTCAATCTGCAAGCACCTTTCCCAGGCGCCCTCCCCAAGGGCAAGGCAGGCACCCCTCATTCCGAGCATCTCCAAATCCAAATCATCTCTGTGACACGGTGGGAGTAGTTAATGACCACAGAGTTAAAAGATGGACTCTGGAGGCAGACTTCCTATGTCAAATCCCAGCTTCAGCAAGTCCCATAACCTCTCTGAGCCTCGGTTTCATCATCTGCAAACTGGGCATAATAATATCTGCCTCATGGGATTGTTGTAAAGGTTAAATAAGTTTATATTTAAAGCACTTAGAGTAGTGTCTGGCACATGGAAAGGGCCATGTCAGTGTTCGCTTTATTTTATTTTATTTTATTTTATTTTATTTTATTTTTGAGACAGAGTCTGGCTCTCTTGCCTGGGCTAAAGTGCCGTGGTGTCAGCCTAGCTCACAGCAACCTCAAACTCCTGGGCTCAAGCGATCCTCCTTGCCTCAGCCTCCCAGGTAGCTGGGACTACAGGCATGCACCACCATGCCCAGTAATTTTTGCTTTTTTAGTTGTGCCAAAATTTGTCATGGACGTAGAGATGGGTGCTCCTTGCTCTTGCTCAGGGCTGGTCGCGAACTCTGTTGTGTGTTATCCCTCTCGCCTTCGTGCCTCAGTGTGTGTTATTAGGCATTGAGCCACCTCGGCTGGGACCCGCTGTGAGTTAAGATTACTTAGTGATTATTCAGTTCAGGTAGCCTCTCTGGTCCATGGGGCGGGACCCTGACCTCCATGCGCCGTCGCAACCCTCGCCTTCTCTCTTTTCTCATTTGTTTTTTGTTGTTGTGTTTTTTTTTCAGACAAGATGCCGTGTCTTGTCCCAGCTAGGAGTGCAGCGGAGTGCTAATACGCACTGCAAGCCTAACTCCGGGAGTGATCCGCTGCTCACCCCCCCAGGGCGCATGACAAATGCAACCTCAATACCCTTGGGCTAATGTTTTTCCTTGTTTTTTTTTTTTTTTTTTTGTTGAGACACGAGTCATCCACGTTTGTTGCCCAGGGGCTTAGGTGCAGTGACGCAGTGGCGTCAGCGAGCTCACAGCAACGCTCAAAACTCTGGGCTCGGCAATCTGTGCCTCAGCGTCCCGAAGTAGTGACACCATGTCCACACCGGCTAATTATCTGCCATATATACAGTTTTCAGAATAATTTGTGCTCCTTTGATGTTGCGGGAGGTCATTGTAGTTCC